GTCACGACAGTAGAAACAGCTGGAATTGGAAATCTGACGAAAGATATGAACAAAAATGTTTTCGCTTATTCGGAGATGGAATAAGTTCATTTGAATGCATCCGTTGGAAACCTTCGGCCAGTTTCAAGCCAAAGAGTTCCCACACCCTATATAGTTATTTTGCTTCTAGTTTGCGTTAGAATAAAAAAAAAAACAGCTAGAAAAATGTGGTTTATAATAAAGAAAAGAACGGAAGGGGAAATATCACCATGCTTACTAAAGAAAATAGGATTTTTTCTTTGAATATACTGGGTTATTTATTCACAAATCCATCTTATACGATAGGAAGGGTACTGTAAGTGAATCGTCTCGAGATTCGCCTCTAAATATTGCCCATTTCTACATCGGGACGGACTACTTGTCACTCCGCTTAAGTTCACCTTGATGCTACTTGTTATGTTGAACGCAAACCGAAAGCTTTCGAGCGGAAAGTTTCGTAGGAATTCCCTATCTTACGGTAGTGTGGCACTTGATCCCGAAAATATCTATATATTTATTTATTCCTTCATTTCATTTTCATATTTGCCGTCACCAAATAGTTGTTTTGAAGAGATCATCTCTAGATTGATTTGTCTACGCAATTAAAAAACTGATGGCGCTTGTAAAACAGAAATAAAACATTTACACTTTACTTGACTACGTTTGTGTCCTGAATCAATCTGAACGGGACACTTTGGGCCATAGTTGGGTTAGTATGTATCTTCTTCTTCTTCTTCTTCTTCTTCTTCTTCTTCTTCTTCTTCTTTTTCTTCTTCTTCTATATGCCGTGTCCCTTCAGCACGTTGGCAACCATAATTCGCTACAGTTTACTTTCCTATGTTCTCGGAGTAAATTTTCTCTTTTAAATCCTGTTCTGTTATCCAATTATAAGAGCTCCTTACTTATGTTCTTCTCTGTTTTCCTATGTTTTTTTTTCTTTCACTATGTCATGTGAGTCTCAAATTTTCCAAGCCATGTTTCCTCATTAATTGCCTTAGAATTCTCAATGATTTATTTCAGATATTACTTATGACTGCCTTTTTTGCTTCGATTTTTTCTAAAATTTCATCGTTGCTCATATGTTAAATCAATGGCATATTCAGCATCCCTTCGTAGAACTAGATTCCTGTTGCTGCAAGTTTCTTCTTCACCTGTGAGGAGATTGACAAAGGTGGTTATTCTGAATGAGCTTAATTAGTATTTTGCTTTCAACTAATCCTTCAGTTTTTTTTTTCTCCGAATTTGTTCTAATGTCAGAAAATTTGTAATCGTGCAGATTGCGTTACGGCGATCTTGCAGGTAAGGTCTGCTATTAATTCTAAATATTAGAATAGAACTCATCAGCCCGGGAATGTCGACTATCTAAGAGAGGAAAAACTCAGAAATTCAACCTCCATTGATTTGTGGCCATACCTAAACGTAGGAATTACCTCGGGGGTAAAATCCGGAGTCAGAGTCCATAAGATGTATTCAACATCGTTCTGGCGACGATGCTGCGCCAATCTGTATTGGATACTACGTTTCCATTCCCCAACTTTTGCGGCGTGGATAGGAAAGACGTGCTGCATAGGAAACAGCCGATGGCTCATAATACCCTGCTCAGGCCTGCGACCTGTAAATGACCAGCGTCGCCTCACGTCAACGACAACACTTTGGAAGCAACAGTCTACTGAAGGGAGGACTCCGACTCTCTTTCTGCATGGTGAACTTGTCATCGATAAGAGGATAAGAAGGCGAGCTGATCTACTCTCCAAGGACATCTGCATAAGTGATATGAGAGCGATGGGCATGGAAATCGAGAGGTGGGAAAACATTGCCAACAATCTTCAACGCTGAAGACGCGATTTGCACCGAGGGTTAGAGCGAGGAGTAAAGAAACGGAGGCTTACGCTGGAGTGAAGCGTGCTCGAAGGAACGAAAACAATACGGCGATGTCGGAGGGGTGCGGCTTCACATGCGTTGGTTGAAATCGTGACTGTCACTCCCATGTGGGCTTATGCAGCCATAATATATATCAGCAGCTGAGGCATATCTTTTCGAGACCGAAGGACACACAGAATTCAAAACACTGCAGTTTTCCTGCAGTCGAAGACGTACAAAGCACATTGGTGAGAATTACGCAGCAGTTCCACGCACTAAACTGGCTTTATCATAATCAATTGAACGCAAAAGGGTGATTAAATAATACACTGATCTAAATGACTTTAACTCTCTCTTCCTTTCAACCGATATGGAACGCAATTCATATTTTCCCCTAAGGTATTTGACAATGGAAGATTTTGTAGGAAGGAGTGTATTTCGGTGTTTAGCATGTGCATCAGCCTAAAGGGATGGCAAACGACTACTAACCGAATTTCCATCACGCCCATGCGAATCCTTCATCGTTGCAAATTGTTACGCCATTCTCCAGTTTCCATTAATAAAATCAAAAAGACGTACATGCTTATGCAGAATACCTAAAGTGAGATCTCACCTACGATACGTTCCATTGTATTATTCATCAGGATCAATCCTTAAAATAAAGTACGTTTTTTGTAACTCTTTGTTATATAGGAATAAAGTGCCACTGTCGACACTTGAGTTTGTACATAGATCGCTAGTAAACAAACACAGGCGAACCCATGATTGAATTAAGTAGACCACGTGAACATAGAAGAAACGCATAAGCAAGAACTCGCTCGAAGTTTAATTGATCGCTATTCCTAGTCTGTCCTCTATACTATACGAATCATCATTTCTCCTCTATCCTCTATTACAATACGGAGCGATATTCTCAACTATATTCACTATACTATTCATCCATTCAGATCACTATACGCTGATTACTATTCGAGCGATATTCGAAAGCGCCTGACATCAGTATTGTTTAACGGCGTTACTATACTTGTCTCTTCCATTATAAAGTCTCTCCTACAACGAGCATTGTGAAAGCGAAAACGGGTATTCTTTGGAATCGCAAAAGAGTCAAACGAGTGTTCGTTGACATCACAAAACTCTTATATTAAGAACATACGCGTGAAACATTGGGTCATTTGGATTCCTTGAATTTTTTACTATATTAAAATAGATGTGCCGGTGAGCGTGTGGTTAAATTTCAGAAGATAGAATCTACGAACCAATGTCAAATTTCACTCGAGACATTTTGCGTTCTAATTGAACTAATTCCATGGGAAAAACATACTATCTATCCTGTCGTTTCCTAGATAGTTATTACATAGAAAAGAAAAAAAAACTAAGCTCTCTAGCTTTAGTTGCAAACCAGTTTATGAGAATAAATAGTATTCATTCCAAAACAGTATAGAACGTAACTAGAAATTACGCCAGGGTATTTCATGCATACAATAAAGGTAATGCCAATTTTATACAAGAGATGTCTATATTCTAATTGGTCAAACTAATTGTTACAATAAAACAAATGTTTGGTTCAGTTATAACGAGAGTGGTTTCCCTGTTCCAACCTCAATGTATTTATTATTACAGATCAAAAATTAATACAGAATAAAATCCAAAATAACCTCCCTCATATGGTGAATAAGCTTATTTCAACATACGAAAATAAAATTCGTCAGTCTTATTAAACCCAGGTATAGACTGTTGGTTAGAGGGTGGGATGGACGGTATTTGTCTTAAAGGGAAGAGGTTTTATAAAATTATATATATATATATATATATATATATATATATAAAGAACAGTATGATATATAATCCGGTGTCCTTATCGATATTTTTATTTTTAAAAAATAGTGCTCAATGTAAATTTAAAGAGCATTAATATTATAAATTAACTGATTTAAAATATGGTTTTTTCGCTACACAGTTCTAACCATGTTTAAAAAATGGAAGGTGAAATCTTCAAATTTAATTTTGTAATTAAATTAAAAACATTAGTTCCATTTCATCCTCAAGCGAATTTTGGAAACATATTTTTAACTAGTTAATATATATATATATATATATATATATATATATATATATATATATATATATATATATAATAGATCCAATACATATTTAGATCTGAAAGAGATGAGATTTTAATGTTATTTTGATAATATCCAACGTTTAAAAAACCTATGATTTTTATTAGCCCATTGGTAAGCACAAACTAGATGTTTCCCTGGGGTGTGAATCTGACATTTTCTTGACCACATTTGTAAAAATATGATAATGTAGTTACTATTAAGCAGCGTCAGTGTTGAAAACACAATGCTATCATATCAGAAAAACAAAAAAAAACAAAAAAAAAACATTTAAGACGCAAAAGCAAATTAACTTGGTCTATTAGTCCTCCTGTGTCTGTACTTGTGTTTTTCTTTTGCACACACACGCATACATACATACATACACCCCCACGTGTTTGTGTGTGTGTGTGCTGACATACGTGGAGAGCAAAATGTTCCAGAAAAAAATCGTCTTCTTGAGGTAAACTTATTATTGTTTTGACTGCTAAATATATTAAGTAGACGCAACTTATATAATTCACTGAGTGCAAGACAAATTATTCATGCCATTTCAGCACAGAATGACGCCAAGAAAACCTATTTTGACGCGCCGCTTCCACATAAGAGAACTTCGGAATTTGAACTTATATACTATATAAGTACTTAAGTATATAAGTAAATAAACAATTTGCAACTGTGAAGATGATACATCTTGATATTTTCTTATTACATATATTTCATTTTTTTCTTCTATAGGATGTGTCCCTTGAGAATTTGGGAGGTAATGATACAACTTTTAACAATAATCATATTATTTTTACATTATTTCCTAGTACCTGATTTCTCATCCATTTTCAAAATCTATTTAAAGAGATTACTGCCTCTTCTTGATTTTAATTTTGTTTCTTTTGTGCTTCCATTTTCTCTAAAATCTCGCCGTTGCTCACATATAAGGTCCATTCAGCTTTCCTCTGCATCTTGTTTCAGGCATGTCCTGTGAATGTCAAATCTTTTAAGCCCCCTTTTCCTCATTATGTGCCGCATCATTGAAACACCTGTTCCCGTACGAACACGGAAGTTAAGCAACATCGACTTTGGTCACTACCTACATTGCTGACCCCTTGGGAATATCAGGTGCTGTAGGTTTGGCTGTATGACTAATGTAATGTATTATGGCTCGCGACTGATCACGTTGAATCACCAGTTCCCTTAAGATCACGGAAGTTAAGCAACGCCGACTTTGGTCACGATCTACATTGCTGATCGTTTGATAATGTCAGTTGCTGTAGATTCAGATGTGTGACTCATGTAATGGATAATGGCTTGGGATTGTTAATCAGAGTACCGAGTTCTAATTCCAGTTGGGTTTATATATATATATATATATATATATATATATATATATATATATCATCACGCGCAAATAACCTTGGAAAAAGGTGTGAATCCATTTTTTCTCCCACAGTTATAGGTTAATTAGTAAGACTTGTGTCACCAAAATCATTATTATCTACAAACAAAAATATATAAAATAAAATTGCGTACAAATTATTTAGGTTTCGGCATGAAATAACCCTTGCAGGCTGATATGCCGCTAAATAGAAGAAAACAGCCAACCAACTGTTCATTTCCTTTTCACTTTTCTCATGATATCCACGTTGCTAACACATTCCCTGGGTAACCTTCTTTTGAACAGAATCTCACATTTCTCGGTCGTCCTGGATAACACATTAAACTACATCCGCGTCCCGGGTAAGACGATAAACCATATCCAGCAGCAAGGCCTCTGATCAGGAGGTTTTCAGAAGCGTAGAACCCCTTCTTAATTTCTGGTTTTCCCAGGTCTATCCTGACCCAGGGTGATAGCATCTGGTAGGGTCTAAGTTATGGGCAAATAGTTAACTATTCCCAGCAATACATTTTTGAAAAAAAATATTACCAGCAATACAATTTTGAAGGAAAAGTATTACCAGAAACAGATTTTTGACAAAACTAAATATTACCGGCAATAAAAAATGTTTCTGGCATTAAATAACGCATTGAGGTTGATATGCTGTAAGACAAATTAAACCCAAACAATCTAAACCAAAGAATACATATTCTATTCATACGAATTTGTCCTAAAATGTTGTCGGCATTAAATAAACCCATTGGGGTTGATATGCCGTAAAACAAACCAAACCAAGCCAAACCCATTTCTCGGTGAGGAAATTGTGAAAAATTCACTGACATACGGGATGTTTGATAGTACATAGCTTTTCAGCAGCCTTAATTATTTTCCTAACAAAAATTTCCTGTTTCTTAGTACTTTTTGGTAGCCGCTTACGCTATTACCATGTACCTTCGGATTTATTGACAAATATTGGAACGGAAATAATAATATTCATGAATAACGGTTGTACTACCCCCACTCGAGGCCCAGTCTGCGTGGAGTAAGTAGCGAAACCATTTTTTTTTTGCTTTTTTTTTTGGCAATTCATTTAAATACTTACCTACTGGCGCGAGATGAAACTACTTCAAAAAGTAGACAGGCTATGATTGCTTTTTTTTTTTTGGCGGGAAGTCATAACATCACACATATAAGAAAGACAATATGAACCAAATTAGAAGAAAAATCCAGAAAACTTGTAAGAGCTATGAATGGCCATGTTACCAAGATAACTACTGTTTCGAAAACTCACTTCTTTGTGGAGACAACCAATAATTATTATTTTGTTCATACTGGTTTCATTATATATATATATATATATATATATATATATATATATATATATATATATATATATGTGGCACCATTTACGAGGCAGAGAAAGGAAAAAAAAGAAAAGAAGGCAGAAAGAAAAGGCGAGACGAATCGTGGGTGATCAGAAGAACACACACGGCTAAGAGACAATGAATATATTGATAAGTAACAAATGGCGAAAGGGTGTCATTACAATGACAGGGAAATTCTGGGTAAAAAAGAAAGGGAAAGAAAGAAAGAAACAGATGTGTTTTGATAACGGCTGTGTTATCTAGGAGTAGGTAAACAAAACTGCTGCCGACTGGCCAACGAAAAAAAATTCAAATTGAAAACGTTAATTTTGATAATTGACAAAAAACAGGTGTAACTAAAGGACTTTGGATAGATATGAAAAATTAAAAACCACACAAGCCGTGTCCACTGACCGAATTTTTTTCGACGAAACAAATTTGGCCTGCGATAATAAAATTATGTTATCAGAAATATGTACCGAAGGAAAATGAATGGGGACCCAGAAGTTTTTTTTTCTTCTTCCTTGGAGGCGACAGACTGACTGAAAAAAAATTAGAGATATTTCTTTTTTGAGGCCATGTTAAGAAGACCACCCATTTTGATAATTAGCGATAAAATACCTGACAAAAACCACGTGTAGAACAAGAGTTGTCATATTTTCCGTTTGCGGCTAGAAAAATGATAACGGCGATTAAAGGGAAGAAAAGGGAAAGAGAAGAGATAATTTTTTTTTAGTTAAGCAAGATATTTTTTTTTTTTTTTGAAACAAAGCCGCGGATTGTTCACGCCCGACTAAGACATCATTGGTCAAGTGGTGATCACGTGACGCACGAAGGAGGAGGAAAGATACCCGACTAAGACCTCATTGGCCGAGGGTGATCACGTGACGCACGAAGAAGGCTGTCGACGCCTCATCCTCAGTATAAGTATGAGAAGCTGCTACGAAGAAGTGGGGAGGGCAGTTCACGCCCCTCTGAAGTATGGTGAGAAAGTGGGAGTAAGGAAAGGTTCCCAAAAATGGAAAAAGAGTGGAAAATCCCTAACCAGAAATAAAAAGAGGTGGATATGTATTTAGAATTATCGAGGAACCCCCCGACGCCGACAGACCCACCCCGGTTTTGGTCGGCGACAATAAAAGCGAGGCCCCAACAGGCAGAAATTCAGAGAGTTTTGAGGCTCCAGCGGAGAGAGTTGAGTTTCAGAGTTGAAGCCGCCTCGCAGATAGCTGACCAAGATTCACGCAAAATTCCGGACTCCTCTTCAACCCAAGAACAATTATTTTGAAGAGCGACTTAGAACCAGACCACCGAAATAAGTTTTTTCGACTTTCGTCCAAAGACACACCGAAACGCCAATTTCTTAGAGAGCAAACAACTTGAAGCGTTAAAAAACTTGCCTAACGGAAAACGACGTGTCACAATCCACAGAACGGGTCGGGAGATAGATGCAGTCCTATGTATCGAACAACTAGACATAAAGTTTGTTACCTTTTTTTTTTTGATACTTTGAACTTTTTGAGTTTTCATTTTATTTTCTTTTATGCATATTTGTGTGTTATCACCCCCGTTGAACTCAGTTTGCATTACGGCCCCAACCACTGTTTGATCTCGTCTGTCTAAGATCAATTCACAACGTGGGTAGGCAGACTGGAGATCAATGCATTTACCTTGGTAACCAGGCGTTGGAAGCGAGTTGGGAACGACGAGGCTGATATCAAATCTAACCAGATTCCCACCCGAATCACCAAAAGGTTAGAACGTCACATTTGGGTGCCGCGACCGATACCAAGCCAGTTGGTCGTCACAGGACGAGACAACACGACTGACGCGACAGGCGGACGTCACGTTTGGAGCAGCGACACCCGAACGGAGAAGCGAGGAGCGAACAACTGGCGCCGCGGCGAGGACGTCACAATTGGTGCTGTTTGGGGACGTCACAACTGGCGCCGTGGTAGATCAGGATAGAACGTCACAGTCGGCGCTGCGACCGGGGACGACGTCATATAATTATATATATATATATATATATATATATAAATTATCAATACTTAAATTAACTTTTTTAAAATATGGTTTCTTCGCTACTACAGGGAATTGCCATGTTTCAAAAACCAAAAGCTAAAATATTTCAAATTTTACTTATATAATCAAATTAAAAGCATTAGTACTATTTCATATTCAAGCGAATTTCGTAATGCTCTGTAAATTTACATTGAGCAGTGTTTTGTATAAATAAAATAAAAATAAAAATATCAATTAAGAACACCGGAATATATATCTTACTGTTCTTTCTTTTTTTATATATATATATATATATATATATATATATATATATATATATATATATATATATATATATTCTGTTATTGGATATTACATTAGAACATGTGTAAAAAATTCACATAAAAAACTTAAATTTTTTTATCTCATCAAATTTCCAATTAATGGCACAAAGCTAATGTGTTATTTAATGTTGGGGTGTCTCTTCTACATAAATTAAAAGGTAATTTTTTTGATAATTTAAAAAGTTCAAATTTTTTTTTAAGTTATAACTGATATGTTTCGTGTTCGATTCCGTTTGATTAAAAAATTTTGTTACAATTATTTATCTAATTGTTTCTTTTTTTCGAACACGTTTTAATTCGACGTCCATTTTTTTAAACAATGATCAATTTTCGACAGAAAATTAAAATATTTTTTCTGGGGTTCCATTTTTTTTTTTTTTTAATTATCCCTTATTTATAAATTTCTTTTGATCTAATTTAAATCGTTTGTTTTCTGATGGAGAAAATAAAATATATTTCTGATTTTTAAAAAAAATTCTTAATTTGATTTTTTCCTATTTGAATAATTCAACATTGATTTAAAAACGACCAAACAATATTAGTGTAAACTTGCATTATATTAAAAAATGGATTAAATTTAATATATTGTTTTTATATAATATTTTAACCAGATAATTATTTATTTGAAAAACAATAAAAAACAAATAATTATCTGTCCAAGAATAATATATTCAAATTCTTATTCATTTTTATTATATGGTGATAACAAAATTCTTTGGATTAAATTTAATAAAATAAATTCTAATATTTATATTGATCATAAATATCTAAAACAAATTAAAAATGGATTAAACCATATCATTTTAATATTTATTTTTAATATTCAACAAATTTTAAAAAACAAAATTATCAATTGTTGAATATGTTTATTTTTATACGCGTTAAAAACCTCTCAATTGATTACAAATTGTATTCCCATTCTATTTATATTGATCTATTTAAAATCTATAAAATTTTATATGTTTTTACTTGAAACATATATTATAGAAATAATCATTTTTAATATTTTGAAATCAATTTTTTTCCTTATTTATAATTTTTAAAG